GTCGGTCGGGCCCGGCCCCACGCGGGTCCGCGCAGCCCGGAGCCGCGGGGGAACGAACGGGCCCGCGGGGCCGGGCTTTCGTTGGCGGCGCGGCTTCCCGTGGGATGCCGAACGGGAACAAGATCGCGTTCTGAGCAAGTTGAATCGGGTTTAAATATTTTAATCTAAAAACTTCGAGCCTGGCCGCCGATCTCCCGTGGCCGGGAGAGCCCGGGCAGCCGCCCATCGCAGCCTCCCCGCGAGCCGCCGTCCACCCGCGACCGCGGGCCCTCCGCGAGAACCGACCCCGACGGGGGAAGGGGAGCAAGGGGAAAGGGATCGGGAGAAGGGGGAGCCCGCGGTGCCGCCGTTACCGTCGCTGAGCTTGGGGGTGGCCGCCTCGGCCGCTCTCTCGGCGGCGGCGTCGGGCTCCCGCGGAGGGGAGCGCCCGGCCGGCCGCAGCGCGGGGCTGCCCGTGTCCTCCCGGCCCGGCTCCGCCGCCGCCCCGCCGGGCTCCCGCGGGCCGCCGCCGCCGCGCAGGGGCCCGCTCTCCAGCACCTCGCGGTAGGTGATGAGCTCCTTCTTCTCCTTGGCTTTGGGATCAAACGACTTGGAGACAAACGCCGTCAGCTCCTCCATGGCTCAGGGGCGCGCTGCCCCGGCTCCCCGGGCGGGCATCCACGGGGCGGGGAGGCGGCGGCGCCCCGGGCCGTGCCGAGCCGGGCCGGGCCGTGCCGCCCGACGTGCAGGGCTCCCGGGGTCTGATAGCGACGCCGCGATTGAAGTGGCACTATTTATACTTTGCAAAGCCGGCCCCTTGTTCCCGGCGAATTACCTCCCCTCGGAGCTCTGAATGGACCCCTTCCTTCCTCCCTTCCTTCCTCCCGTGCTCGCCGGTCGCCCGCCCGCCGCGGGGCACTGCGGCCACGGCACCGCCCGCCCGCCGCGCGCTGCGCCCTAATTAATTTAATTAGGCGCGGGACCGTGCGCGAGGTCCCGGGCGAGCGCGGCGCGGAGCGGGGCCGGGGCGGCGGGGGAGTGGCCACCGGGACGCGCGGGGGGGCGGCGGGGCCGCGCAGGCTCCGCGCACCGCCCCGCGTGGGTCGGCTCAGCCCCGCGGCCCCGGGAGCGCCGAACCGGAGCGGCCCCGGCCCCCAGGGAGCCGCAAAAGTTCCTCCGTGGGCGCCCGAATGCCCCGAATAAACGAGGGGATAAATGACGGCGAGGCATCGGATTAGAGCCGATGTCGCTAATATTGTTTGCCCTTTGTTTTTTTAAAATCCCACCACGGAGCGCCTCTGTTGACGGAACTCGCCTTTTCCCCACCTTTGCTAAATTCTAATAAATTATTCAGAATTGTTTAACTCTTGCGTGCGTATCGATTTTTCATTGACCTTTGGGGCGATGACTTCACATAACGGAACGTTCATTTACCGGGACGGGTTCGGTACCGGGGGTGGCATCAGCGTTTATTCGGAGCCGGTCACACGCGACCCTGTCGCGACAGGCGGCGTGTCCCGGTCCCCCCGCGCCGGGGGACGCGCGGGTGGCGCCGCCCGGGAGCCGCTCCCGCCGGGCGTTTTGGACCCCGGGGGCACCGGGCACCGGGGGATTCGGTGTGACCGATCCCTCCGCGGCTACCGCCCTCCTGGGTGACCCTCACCGGCCCCTCCGCCCGGACATTTCGTTTATCCCCACGCGCGTTTCGCCATTCCCGTGGCGGGGGGAGCGTCTGCTCGGGAGCTCGCGTTAAACGAACCAGATTCGGTAAGAAAAATCGAATTAAGCGAAGCGATTCAATCGTTCTGTTGCGTTTCGGGTCGCTGCCCGGCGGAGGCTCCGCTCGGCCCGGTGGCTCCCGGCTCGCTCCGTGCCCGGCTCGCTCCGTCCCGGTGGCCACGCCGCGCGTGGAGTGCTGCCCTCTGCCCCCGGGGGCGGCTCTCGGGGCCGTGGAGCCCCGACCCTCCTTTAACTCTCCGGGACGGAACGAAAACTCCCGGTGCCGCTGTCCCCGTCACCCGCGGCGGGACACGCCGTGCGCCCGGGGCTCGCCGCGTTGGGCGCGGTGCAGACAGCGCTCCGTGGGCTCTGCGCATCCCGTGGGCAGCGGGACCCCGGCCCCGGGACCACCCGCGCTGCCCTCCTGCCCGTCACCCGCGGCGTGTCGCGCCGGGAGCCCGTGGGACGCCGCGTTGGGCGCGGTGCAGACAGAGCTCTGTGGGTTCTACACCCCCCGTGGGCAGCGGGACCCCGATCCCTGTCCCGGTCCCGGTCCCGGTCCCGTCCCGCGTGGGCGCTCGCCGGCGCGCCGCATCGATGGCTCGGTGCTCGCTGCGGCCGTCTGGGCGCGCTCGGCGGTGGATTGGCGCTGCCTGCCCGCCGCCCCGGAAGGCGCTGGGCTCGAACCGGGGGCGCGGCGGCTCCGCCAGGTACGGGGGGCACGGGGGGACACGGGGAACACGGGGGGACACGGGGAACACGTGGGACACACGGGGGGACACGGGGGGACACGGTCGCACCGCCCCCCGCAGGCACGGCGCAGGGGATCGGCGGCCGCTGCAGGGCCCGGTGTGCGCAGCGGCCGCGCGGCCTCCGGTGCGGGCGGTGCGGGGCAGCCCCGGGCGCGCCGGGCATTGCTGAGGGGCCGGGATGCGCAGGGGTTGGGCTGGGTGGGAAGGAGTCCCCGGAGGTGCTGCCGGAGGGGGCGGTGAGCGAGCTCCGGGAGCTCCCGAGGGAATGCCGGTGCTGACGGGCCCGAGCCGCGCTCTGCCGGGACGGGACGGGAGCTGTCCCGCGTGTGGATCGTGCCCTTCTCCCGGGGGATGTTCCCTTGAGCCCTGCAGCTCCCGGCGCTCGGGAGGAATTTCTGTGTCCTTAACGGTGAATTTCCCTTTGTTGTGCTCCAGGCTCTCCCCGGAGGATCAGCAGGAGCCGCCTCGGGGGCCAGAGGTGTGAGCAAGGGCAAGAGCTGGGGTGGAGGAAACGGAGCCGCCTGTGCTGGGAACAGGAGAAGCACAGAAGGGATCGGGGCTGGGAAGGGGCTGGAGAATTCCTGAGGGAGCTGGAAAGGGGCTCAGCCTGGAGAAAAGGGGGATCAGGGGGAATTTCTGTCTCTGGACAGCTCCCTGCCAGGAGGGGACAGCTGGGGGGGTCAGGCTCTGCCTCCAGGGAACAGCGAGGAGAGGGATCCGCATATTTTTATTTTAATATAAATATAAATATAAATATAAATATAAATATAAATATAAATATAAACCAACACAACACAGATACCAGGCCCGCTCACAGCTGGGAACGTTTGGGTTTTGTGCAGATTGAAGATGGGCCGGCGCTCCTCGGACACGGAGGAGGAGAGCAGGAGCAGGAGGAAGAAGAAGCACCGCAGGCGCTCCTCCTCCAGCAGCTCCTCGGACAGCCGGACCTACAGCCGCAAAAAATCGGGAAGGAAATCCAGGTCGAGGTCGCGCTCTCGGGATCTCCAGTCTTGGTCCCATTCCTATGAGAAAAGGTGCATTTGTAGGAGATTTTAGAAGTTGAGCTCTTTCATTTTACAGCAGGAAGCTGGGAGGGTTTGACTCCCGTGGGTTGGGATTTTGTGGCACAGATTGGTCTGAACCTTAAGAGATGTGAGAATGTTTTCACTTTGGTCAAAATAAACCCCCAAACCCAGTGCCCTGACCAGAAATACCCACACCTCCTTCCCCCCAGGAGAATAAGGCAGGGAATGTGCAGATCCAAAGGAAACTTATGCTTTAAACCAGAGAAACCCCAGGAGATAAAAGTAACCTTTCCTTCCTTCTCCCAGCAGCGACAACTTCCACTGCCCCAGGGTGTTCCAAGCTCATCCAACCTGGCCTGGGGCACTTCAGGGATCCACAGCTTTTCTGGGAATCTCACCTCAGTTCCTCCCCACCCTGCCAGGGAACAATTCCTGCCCAAGATCCCATCCATCCCTGCCCTCTGGCACTGGGAGCCATTCCCTGGCTCCTGTCCCTCCATCCCTTGTCCCCAGTCCCTCTCCAGCTCTCCTGGAGCCCCTGGAAGGGTCTCTGAGCTCTCCCTGGAGTTCCTCCTCTCCAGGAGAGCATTCCCAGCTTTCCCAGCCTGGCTCCAGAGGGCTCCAGCCCTGGAGCATCTCTGTGGCTCCATCCTGTTTGCCTCAGTCTGGCCTGTGCTGGTGAATTTACTGGGAAGTGGTGCTGGAAAACACTCCCAGTGTCCAGCTGCCCTGTAAATCCAGCTGGAATTGCTCCTGCCAGACCTTTCTGGAGTGGCTGCAGGGTGAGGTGAGGAGGGAGCTCAGGGGTTTATTCCCAGCCCTTTCTCCTGCTGGGATCTCCATCCTCCCCAGGGCCAGGGCAGGATGCTGTGGGCTGTGATCCCAGCCATGGGCTTGAATCCCGTTATTCCAGCACAGCCATGGCCAGCTCCAGGGAATCCAGAGGGGACTGGGGGCACCGTGGACACCAGGACACTCAAACTGCATCCAGGAAGGATCCAGGGCTCTGCTTTTGGGCTCTTGGCTTTGTCCTCGGATTTGCTCCTGGCAGTTTGGGCCGTGTTCCATGCTGGATTTATCCCTGACCCTCAGGAATCAAAGGCAGCAGCTTCTGGAATTCCTGTCCCTCATCCAGCAGGAACATCACATTGCCTTTCCAGGTGCAGCCCTGCTCTTCAGCAATTAACCTATATATCCATTATATATATATCCTATATATCCATTCCAGCTCCTGCAGCCCCTTTCCCTCACACTGGATAATCTGATAAAACTGAGCTCATCCTGAATTCCATTATTATTTATATTTTCTATTAAAAATATTGAAAATATTATTATATATTATATATAACATATTTTAATATTGATCACACATAAAGGCCAAAAATAAGATTGTACTTGTTAATTAGTTAACTTCTGGGGAGATGGAGAGGAAATGTTAAGATTTGGACTTCATTTGGATTGGGGGTTTAATATCTTATTTTTTTCACCTTTATCCTTGGTGTAGATGAATTTATTATTTGAATAAACAAAACTGGGAGGGAATGGAAAAGGAAGAGACCCTTTTGATTCCTGATTGGACTCAGGAGGGGAGCTGCCCTTAAATGAACTCACATGAAATAAATTAACACTTTTTAACTGATTACTACTAATAGTAGTTAAGGATGCCACCCAAACTTCATTTTTTTTCCTGGGATGTGGGTTTTAGAGGATCAGCTCTTTAGGGCAGCAGTGTCCCTGTGTAGGTGTTACTTGTTATGGGGGAATAGTGGGATTTGGGGCTTCTGGAGCACCCTGCAAACCCCCCAGGTTTGTACAAGTTTTCTTAGGAATCCTTGGGGGTTTGCCCCTGTTTTTGGGGGTAGTGCCAGCCTCACTCTGGCTCTGTTTTCTCAGGGATTTTTGGGGGTTTGTCCTTGTTTTTGGGGGCAGTGCCAGCCTCACCTTGGCTCTGTTTTCTCAGGGATTTTTGGGGGTAATGCCAGCCTCACCCTGGCTCTGTTTTCTCAGGGATTTTTGGGGGTTTGTCTCTGTATTTTGGGGCTTTTGGGAGCAGTGCCAGCCTCACCCTGGCTCTGTTACAGGCGCAGACACAGATCCAGCAGCAGCTCTTCCTACGGCTCCAGGAGGAAGCGCAGCCGCTCCAGGGGCAGAGGCAAATCCTACAGGTCCCAGAGATCCAGGTCAAAGAGCAGAACCAGGAGGTAAGAGTCTCCCCTAGGAAACAGCAGCGTTATTTCTACTGGAAAAACATTCCTGGGGAATCCTGACATAATTACTGAGCTTGGAATAAATGGAAATAATAGCTGCAGGTGATGGTTTAAACCACACATCCCTTGAAATTCCTGATTTGGGGTGTCTGGAGTGCTTTCCACACACTAAATCTTGCAGTTACCCTGGTGAAACAATTTTGAAGATACTTATTTTCCATATGATTCAAGCAAGAAAACACAAATAGGATCTCTTGGTGTCATGGAATAATTTGGAAATGTCTTGTGGATTTTTTAAGTTCCTGCTTTCCATAATTCCCACACATACCATTGGCTCCCTGAAGTTCAGAATAAACTGATTTTCTCACCTGTGTTTCTCTTGGCAAAGGATGAGTCTTTAGTTATGCAATCTTTTATATTTAAATAAAAATTTTATATATATATATATATATAAAATGTTTATTTATTTATATTTAAGGATGTCTGCAGTGGAAGTTTGCATGCACTGGTTTGCAATGAATACTTCATAATTTCAATATTTAAATCTTAACCAGAAGTTGCAAAAGGTATTATAAAATCTGCTTTAATTAAAAGATGCTCAAGTTGTGTTTGTATGTCTTTTTCAATTAAGAGGTTTAACTGAAGTTTATCCTTGATACCAGGTTTCCCATTAGCATTTTCTATTGATTTTAGATTAATTATTGAGTGGATCAAGCAGATCAAAGCTGTTTGTGTACATGCTTAAAATCTTCAGCCAGGTGATTTTTTGTGCCTGCACTGAGAATTTGTTAAACCTTTGGTTTCCATATCCAAACCAGGAGAACTGTTGCCTCTAAATGGTGAAAAATTGTTGTAGGAAGATGTGAATATTCCACTTTCTGTTATTTGTGTCATGCCATGATTTATTCCCAGCTGTGCATTGAAGGAGTTGTTTGGACCCTTTATTGCTGCTGTGCCTTTGTAGTAGAAATTTGATTATTTAGATTTAGAAAGAAATGTAGAAATTGCATGACCTCTCTTGGAGTATCCTCCCCATCAGAGCTGTACAGCTGTTCCTGGGAATATCCACTTTTCTTTGCTAAAAAAATCAGTTTGAACCCACAGAAATGTCAGAAGAATGAGGTGGAAAAGGAAGATTTTTCACATACTGAGTGTTAGGAAGTGTGATAAACTGATTTAAAATGTTTTTTTTTAATAATAATAAAACAATATATAAGAAATTGCTGACCTCATTAGCTATGGTTTTATTGATATAAAGTATTATATAATAAATATAAATTGCAGATCTCACCAGCTATGGTTTAGTGGTCATCTTTTCCAAGGGATTTGATTTTAATCATGGTTCCAATAAATGGAAATTAAGCACCTAGAAACTTGAAAAACATGGTTACTGCCAGAAAATACTGTGTATCAGATATTTCATGTATCAGATATTTCATGTATCAGATATTTCATGTATCAGATATTTCATGTATCAGATATTTCATGTTATCAAGTGTGAGCACTGGAGGGGTAGAGCTGCACATTCCTTTAAAAGCTGGTCCTGTTTGCGCCCACAGAGGGAAAATATTGATAATTAACATCTTAAATGATCCCACAAGAGTCTAAAAGCTTAAAATTAAGCCCAACAGGACCCATTCCATCCTTTATTGCAATTTTTTCTGAGTCTGCTGTAATGTGGCACTGAGCAGCTGTGGATTAATCTGATTTTGGAGAGTTAAATCTTGCTTTAGCACAAAGCTGCTACTCCAGGCCTGTGCTTGCCCTGGTTGTCAGTGCTGAGCTCTTGCAGTGATGCCAAATAATCCCTTTTCTGCCTCAAAATCACTCAACCCAAAGGCTCACCAGCTTTCCAAGGACTTCAGGATTCCTCAGGCTGGAAAAGAGATTGTGGGGGAGAGAGGGAATGTGATGGAGGGGCAGGAAAAATAAACCTAAAAATAAAAATGGTGGGAAGAGGTGATTTAGGACTGAGGGTTCCCCATCTCTGCCTGTGCACAACCTGGGGCAGGTTTGACAGTGTTTGCCATGGAAAATGTGTGTATTTATAGCTCTGGCACAGAATTTCCATGGATTCCATCTGCAATTCCTAATTATTTTTTATTTTTTGTTCAGGGTGGGACAACTTATTTTCCTATGATTTTTTTCAAGGTAAATACTGAAGAAACCACTTTTAAATAATTTTTAAAAGGATCCAGAATAGCTCAGGCAGCCCCTTGTGTTCCTGTGGTAAGGAATGGATTATCCAGGGGAATATTCCTGGTGATCTCCCACTTCTGGGGTGCCAGGGAGGGAGAAAAAGCTGGAAAGGGAGGATCAGCCCTGTGTTTGTCACCCTCCTGCTGCACCTTCAGAGGATTATCCCCTTTAGGAGCTGAGCAAATGCCATTTTTATTTTATTTATTATGGGTTTACCTCTAGAGAAGTATGGGAAGTTAAGGTCTGTTACGTGGTCTCTTTAAATCCCTGGAATTGTTTTTGATATAAATCATGCAGGTGGCACAAATTCTGTATCCTGTAACATCTTGTCTCCCCACTATCCCCTACCAGCTTTTAATTTGTTTTTCAAGGTAGTGAAGGTGGTGTTAAAAGTAATGTGTTTTTTTAATGACTTCTCTAACAGAGGTGTTTTATTTGAGCAGGTGATTTACAGTGCAAAACACTGAGCTGGATCAAGTTTTACTTCGAAAAGTTGGATTTTTACAATGACATGTGTAAGATATTTTAAATAGGTGTTGTTTGTAACCTAAACTGATTTCTTGTACTTTATTGGAGAAGATAGGAAAATTTGTGTATATCATAATTATTTTATTTTAGATGCATTTTCAGAGTAAAAAAAACAGAGTTTCCCTGTAAGGGTTGTTTGATTTGAGAAGCTAAAGAAACTTGTGTGTTGACTATTTTATTTTAGATGCAGTTTTTAGGTTGAAAAAAGTGGGGCTTCCCAGTGTTGCTGGTACTTTATTGGAGCAGATAAGAAAACTTGTGCATATCATTATAACTATTGTATTTGAGATGCATTTTTAGAGTCAAAAAAGTGGAGCTTCCCAGTAATGCTATAAATTCCAAGCTGTCCTACAGCGAGGGAGTACAATGCAAATACGACTTAATAAGATCACAAACTGAATTTCAGCAGAAACAACCAAGATTTACATTAAATTAGGAATTTTAAAACCGATTTAGTTTGTTTTACTGAGCATTTGCTTAATAACATTTCGCCTCCTCGCAATCTTTTTAAAGCCAATAATTCGTCTGCGAAGCGCGGGCACATCCTCCTGTGGAAAAATTGGAAGCAACAGCTCCCTCTCTGCAAACCACACATCCAGAGCTGGGAAAGGAATATTTCAGCTCCACGGAATTTAATAAATCATCCCATTTCCTAATTTGATCATATTAGATGCTGATGTGGAAGGAGCATTTCAAATAGCAGCTCCTCATTAATATACATCAGGCTGGGGAATAGCAGGGAATACTTATGGAGGGATGTCACAGTTCCTGTTCCTTAGTTTACTAAGTGGAACAGGTTGATGTGATCCTGGGTGTTATTTGTCACTGTCTTGCTAAAATGGTTTGGGTCGAGTTATGGAGTCCAGAAAGACAGCGGCTGATAAATCAAAAGTGGATTGAGTGGACAGCAGGCAGTGATTGATACCGTGACAGGATATGAAGAAAGGAATCTTGATAGGAGCATGCCCGATATTGAATATGAGAAGGAAAATGGCCCTGGAGTATGGATATTATTCAAGGAAATGAGAATAATAATATCATCTTGAAATTATTGCTGGGTGAAGATTAGGAGAGTTCTTATTAGAATATTCTGCTGCTGTGCTGTGCAGGAGCTCGGCTCCCGCAGAATTCTGGGCTGGATGGAGCCCTGGGAATATTGGGAGAGTTTCCACTGCGATTGTTCTGTGAGTTAATCACATATAAAATACTCTGCAGCAGAACTTGCAGCACAAATCTTCTAATTCACGGAGCTTTAAATAGAATTAACCAAAAAATGTTGACCTTTATTCCCTGATTTCATCCAATCCCGTGATTACAGAGCAGTCCACTGGAATTGTCTGTGAATATGCAAGTTTGCTTTATTGTCTGCCAAATGTCTTTGGCTTTTCCCATTAAGTTCAACTGCAAACTGCTGCCTTAAAATATCTTTAATGCACTTCAGCTTAAAAATTGACACAAAACCAGCAAGTGCATCTATACATATTGAGGAAGGAAAAAAGATTTTATGGAAAGCAATCCCACCTGGAGAGCTGATCCTTGGCAGTGTGGCTGAAGGTGTTTGATCAGGTTTTACATCTTATTTCTTTACCATTTCTCCAGTCTAATTAATTGAATATTGCAATGTGTGCAGGTTATTGCATCCAGGGCCAGGGGAGCTGCTGCTTAGGGCTGGCTTTGGGATAGGCTTGGCTTTGGGGATGCAAAAGCAGCAGTGAGAACTGGAATTAACCTGGGTTCAACCCTCCCAGCCTGGCAGAATTCTTTGTGTTCAGCAGTTAATTTGTTAATTAAAAACTAGTTAAAAACAGGGTCCTCAAGTGCAGTGTGAAAAGGGTCATTAATAATTGATAGCAAACCCCACTGATTATGGGTTTTTGAGGATTTCCTTTTTTAACACCTTCTTCAAAAAACTGCTGTTCTGTATTTTATTGAAGGGTTGATGCTGCACAGTTTGTAAGACTTTTAAAAGATTATATCACTGAATGCTTTTGTATTTGTGTTGCTGGTACCTGTCTTCAGTTAATTTTCTTTTTTCCATACAATTATTTTCGTGCAGGTTTAAAGTTCTGGAGTCTTTCCACATTAAAACCTGGCCCATCAGCCCTCACAGCTGATAAGAACTAGTGGGTCAAAACATGATTTGAAATAATTCTGTGTCTGTCTGTCCTGCTCAGCACATGCTGGTGGAGAGATTTTCATGGATTACAGAGCAGGGGCTGCATTATGAAAACTTCAGGAGGGATTTCCTCAAACGGCATTGGCCTAAA